TTTTTTTTTTTTTTTTTTTAATGAGGGCAGAAAGGGCCTCACTGAGTCACTGCTGCTGTCCTCACTGGCAGCTGTCACCTCCAGCATCGCCCCACAGAGCTCAGCCCAGCAGGTCAAGCACTGGTTTCACACTCTCACCTGAACTAGCCCAGCCTCCTCTGAGGACTAAATATGTTCACAATTTTACAGAGCAACCCCCTACTGTTACATTTCCAAGAAATAACATCAGTTGTTGCAACACAATTATAACAGCAGGAGCAAAACGTGATTCTTGAGCAAGGGTTTTAAAACAAAGCATGACTTCCAGCTCGAGTTTTCACAAATGCAGGGAAACCCAGTTGTAAAGTTGAGTTCAGACAGACATCAACCAAATATTAAAGGTGCTTCAAATTCTCTTTTTCCACCATCAAACTGGGACATGTTTTGTTGCCGGGTTTTTCTTCCTATTGAAAAGGAAAAGCAGGTCATGGCCACCCCTGTGACAACATGTCATTGCCAACCACCACACAACAGCAATAGCTGCTAGCAGGTTTCTTGTCTCCATGCCACCTTCATGGAGCTTCCATTCCAGGGATCTTTGGGTTCTGTGCTTAAAATGAACTTGAATTCCTTTTCCTGCCTTATCAGCTCTGCACCACTTGGCCTTTGTTCTGGACCGCCTTCCCTTCCCGAGGACTCTGGAGCCACCAAAGCCTTTTACCTGTCCTCACGTGCAACCAGCTTGACCAGCAATTCTTTCTGGAGTGCCCTCCCTCATCTTTCCCAGGGCAGCTCCTTCTATGTATCAGAATAAGCACCCAATCTAAAGTAGCTGCCCAACCCTCTTCATTGCCATGCCCTAATTAACCTCCCACTTAGGACTTCTCTCCAGCTGATAGTTCTCCTGAACATCTATATTTTTGCTTACTGTCTTCTTCTTCAAATGAAGTTTAAGCTCCATGTGAACTGAGATTGTGTCCATAGCGACTGTTGAAGTATCTCCAGTGCCTAGAGCTGGTCCTGGCACTTAGTAGGCTCACAGATAATTGTTGGATCAGTAAATGAGGGAAACACTGAGGTTGCCTGGAGATCGTTAGGTCTTGAAGAAATAGTAGAGCTCGATCCTTAATTGGGCTCAGAGATGTGTCACGCACAGACTCATTAATTTAAATTGTCATCTGCTGGGGCTCACTTAGAAGAGGATTCAAACTTTTCATTTGTTCTTTGTAAAATTTAATATTAACCATATTATTAGCAGGGTGCTACTAAAGTTTGAAACATTTTCCAACTACTCAAATTTTGGCCACTGAGGTCTTTTGATTGCATGAGAATAAACTACTTTTTTGCTAATGTACATGAGAAACTGTTAGCACGTCTAAAGAATAATACAAGAGCCAACAGTGAAAATTCAGTAAGGAAAATTCAAGTCTGCATTTCTTTATTTAATATGATAACCCACCTTCCCATTGAAGGTTAGGAATCATAAATTTTATTATACAAGAGTAAGATGTAGGAAAGAACAGTAAGCTGCACTGCGTAAACAAACATCCCCTGAGACAGAGAAGAGGAAAAAATAAATGTCCTCCCTCTTTATCTATCAATGGAGTTCTGAGAAGCACCTGTCACTTATGTGAATTTACCTTTAAGACTTGGCCAAACCTCTTGGAGAGAATGAAATAGGAATATAAGCTTTCAAAAGCAAAGAAAAAAAGAAATATTATGATTTTATGTTCATGTCCTGAGGCTTATTGCTATCCATAAAAGCCAATGGCATCTCTTCTCATACTTATTTACCTACTAATACTAGCCAGTAAGTTCTCAAAACTTATAATCCTGAGGCCACAGGGAGAAAAACAGCACTTATGGAGGAAAAACTTGGGTAAATTCAGGATTATTATTTTAAATAATGCCTTTCCTTCTGCAGATTTCTACCTCAGTAATTCTGGCTGTGAATGCTTAAGAGTGCCTTCCAGTCACTATTCAAAACTCTCCATAATGTGACACACTGCTGACCATTTCTTTATTCTGAAACTAATGCACTCAGCGGGCATTTCTCACAGGGCTTCAAAGCAAGTCATTAGTAAGAATATAAACAGAACTATACGACATAACCATTACCCAAAATGCAAGCACTCTGAATGTCAAAGAGAATTCTTTAAATACCTCGAAATTTAGAATTTTTAGAAAAACTGTGAAGGGTCACTTTTTTTTTGGGGGGGGGAAGTTATCACGTAACATTGTCTTTAGGTTAATTATAGTTCAATGCAATACGATTCACCCTAGGGTTTTATTTTTCCTTCTCTCTCTCCCAGTGAGATTCTGAAAAACAGTTCTCTCATTAACTAGCTCTCCAGGGAATATAGCCTTCCTAACCGACTTACATGGGAGGGCAGACTTTCTAATTTTATAGCAGAAACAGAGAATGTGTGGGTGGGCCACGTTCATGGAGTTCATCTGGACCAGCTTCCACCGACTGTAGAATTCCTCCAGCAGTGCGTGAGCCATCTGGGTGTCGATTTGTTGTTATAATCTAAATGACTTTCCTGGGTGACATAATCAGAAATCAAGTGGAAATAGTGCTAATGCCATATGAAGCACATGTGACAGCTACCCCAAAATGCTGGAGACAAACTTCTCCTTTTTTGAGAGCAAATTCTCTGTTTTCCCTCCATTATTCTCAGGGGCTCCTTCCCACACCCAAAGTAACCAAGAGAGATCCCACAACACAGAAAGAAGCTTGAGAATGGAACACAAATTAGTCCAGCGGCTAGGAAAAAAAAAATAAAGGTCCAAATTTCTCCATTTTTAAGTCACCACTCATTTTAGCAAAAGATATGATGCGATGGCTAAAAGGCAAAAGCACTGGTGAGTGAGGAAATACTTGAGCATGGTGGACAAACCTACGGTGACCCCAGTAACTGTGCCTCCTTCTGCTCATTCCTTGTATAATTCCCACACTCAGTGCAAGCAGGACCTTTGACTTGATTCCAACAAACCGAATAGAGCAAAGGAGATGGTATGTCACGCTCATGACTGTTGTGTAAGACTCTGGTTTAATAGGTGGGAGTGAGTCTCCTTACTGTCTTGAAGCAGCAGCCATGCAGAGATGCTCACGTGGCAAAGAGCTATGATGAACTCCAGTCTACCACTAGCAAGACACCATCCTCAGTCACAGCCATGAGAAAATAAATTCTACCAACAACATGAATGGGCACAGAAGCAGACTGTCCCACGGTCAAGTCTCCAGATGAGAATGCAGCCCACTTTGATAGCAGTCTTGTGAGACATTGGTCTGTGCCCAGACTCCTGGCCTATGGGAACTATGAGAAAAGAAATATATGCTGTTTTAGGTTGCTAAGTTTGTGGCACTCTGTTATGAGGAAATAGGAAACTAACACAAAGAAAGAAAAAATGAAGGTCACAATTCTTTTTTTGGTCAATCCTTAAAGTAAGTCAGAGAGTCTAAGTCTGGCTGAAGAATTCTTGGTAACCCCATTTCCATGCAAACAATCACAGGAAGAAACCTCAGAGAGTGATGGACAAAGCCAGCTGAGTGCCTGGCAACCATTCCAAAGGGTGTCTATTAGCTTCTTAGATGTTCTGGGTTCTATGACGGAAAGCTTATTAACTAGAGGAACTTCTTAAGCAGATAATAAAAAACAACAGGCATAGTGACATGGTCTAAAAATCTTATTATACTGCACAGAAAACTCCTAAGTAGCTTTACTTAAAATTCCTGGAAATGAGAGCAATGAGAGACAATCCATTCGTCTTCCTCTGCCCATAGCTCATGTCCTGAAAATAAATTTTCATTAAATCTCCACACCTGTGAGCTCATAGAACAGTCTTAAAGTGAATAAAAAAGCACCTAATGTGAACTTCTGCTTGAAGTGTTTTTACAATCACTGTGAAACTTGGTGTGTTAATCTCCTCTGTTAACTATTAAATATATTTCTTAGTCTTTCAATGATTTTTTTTCATAGTTTATAAGATAAAAGTTTCAAAAATTAGCCACACGTAGTTGCTTATATGAAACTATAGAAAGGTAACTTCAGAAAATGTGATCCCAGGGTTGGCAAGTGGCATGGTGGTTAAAGCCACCATGGTGGACTCCCACATGGCCGACCACGGTTCAAGTCTCAGACCTGGTGGCTTGCTTTCTCACTTCCTGTCTCTCTCTCATCAAACTGGAAAATAATAATAATGATGATAATAATAAATAAAATTAAATAATACTTTAAAAAATAAAAGAAATTGTGATCCCTTCAATGGGGGAGCCAACACATAAATTGAATTATATATAAGTTTATATTATATTAATATATGCTATATTTATTATAACTTTAAAATATAGCTAATATATGTTCAGGATTCCATCAGTTCTTTCCTTTATTTATCCAATGACAGTGACAAATATTTGATTAATGACAAGGTTATCTAGCTCATATTTGCAATATTTAGTGCTTGGTTGAATTTTTTAAAGAGGTTTTTGTCTTAGGGTGCATGTAATTGCTGGAGAGAGAGAGACAGAGACGTTGAGAGGGAAAGTGAGAAATCACCCCCTGGAGGGATGGCCACACTGCAATTCCTTCTCTTCCATTCTCCTTCCAAGATTGGGCATGCACACACACGTGCCTGCCATGCTTTTCAAGCCACTGGTCTAGGACTCGAACTGCAGTTGGCCATGTGGGAGTCCAGCAACGTAATCACTTTGCCATCTGCTGGTCCCCTTAGTTGAATTTTACTTCATATTACAAGTAGACAGTTAATGTTAGCCTATTCCTGATAGTAACCATGATTTTGCCACAGATTTAGATACACTCTGAAATTCCTTCTAGTGGAATAGTTCATGATTAAGCTTATTTTTTGAGCATTATCTATTAAGCATTAAAACACTAAGAGTTTCCATGAAGTAAAAACAGATGTAATGTCACCTATATAATGACGACAAATTGCATAAAATGCCTTCAGAATCTGAATTTTATATTTTTTTGCAGATGGAATTCCAGAAATTTCCAGAAGGAAAAAGCCTAGCAAAGGTCTAAAAACCAATGGTCCAGGTTGAGAGTCTTGGATCAGCTGTGCTTAAAGCAAGTTCAGTCAAGTGAGAATGTAACAATCAATCACTCGGCATATAGCCACTGAGCACTACTACGTACTGGCAGAGTTCTAGAGCTGGAGGTGCAGCAGTAAGAGGGACGAGGCGTCTGCTTGCATTGGAGTTGGGGGACAAACAAGAAGCAAGAAAACAATTGATCCAAGTAATTTCCTATAGTGGCGAGGTAAGTCAGTTCAAGTAAACACACCATTGAGCTCTTGCTCCCTGCGAGGCAGTGTTTTGGCACTTGAAATACATCGTTGGAGAAAGCGGATATGGATTCCCATCCTCATGGAGAGCACATTCTACCAAGGGAGGGAGACAGTCATTCAAGTCATAATAGACTGGCAATTTATATGCTGTGTTAAACGGTGATATGTACTATTAAAAAAATAAAAGCAGGATAAAGGGGATTGGAAGTGCATCTGTGTAGGAGCAGTGAGTCACAAGTCTAAATGGGGCAGTCAGGGCAGGTACCACAAGAAGGTGACATCTGGGGCCAGCAGGTAGCATGGTGGTTGAGGTGCTGAACTCCCATATGGCTGACCACAGTTCAAGTCTGGACTTGGTGGCTTGCTTTCTCAACTTCTCTCTCTCTTTCTCTCTGTCTCTCTCTGGTCAAATTAAAAATAATAATAATAAATAAAAATTTAATAAATCTATTTTTTAAAGGTGACATCTGAGCAAGACTAGAAGGAGGGAATGTGCTCTGAAGGAGTTTCCATGGGTTATGAGATGGGGGAGCTGCAGGGGACTTGTTCAGACAGAGTGGCCAGGAAAGTCCATTCTGAGGAAATGACATTTTAGCTGAGAGCTCCACTTTGAGGCGAAACCAGTCTTACAAAGGTCTGGGGGCAGAGTGTGGCTGGGAGGGGAAACCACAAAGGCACAGGTGCTGAAGCAGGCATGAGTCTGGCATGGAGGACCAGAAGGAGAGTGATCAGGAGATGGGGCCAGCGATGTGGGCAGGGACTGAAGCTAGCACTTATCCTCTCCTCATCTATGGACCTTGTTCATTAATTTCCAACACCTCTAGTACCTCTTGTCTTAGAAACACCCCCCTTAGGTACCACTTTGTTTCTTCCCTCTGCCCCAGCTAAGTTTCTCCAAGGAAGGACCCAGATAAACTGCCTCCCCACTAACTTTTCAGTTCATTCTAAAGGGATCTCTCCCAAATACTCCCCTTGAAAGTCACCAGTATCTCTGCATATCCACTCGGGGTGAGGGGCTCTTGTCCTTAATGTATCTGACTTTCTGCTGCCTTTAGCGGAAATGACCAACTGTCCTTCTAGAGACCACTCTCTCCTCGCTCGGTGACACTACTGCCAGCCTCATTTTCTCCAGCCATCTCTGGCCTCTCTTCATCTTCTTTTCAGGGGAGAAATAAATAAACAGGGGTGTTCATGTGAAGAAATGCTTAGGGGCTTTGGTTAATTGAAAGCTCATCCATCAGCCTTGACGATCTTGGCTCAGGCAAGTCACTTGGTCCCTAAGGGACACCAGGGTGGAGAAGATGGTGCCTCAGAGCAGGTGAAATCTGTCTGAGCTTGCACTTTCTGCCTGCACAATCCTGCGCAAGACATCATGTTTTTAGAATTCAATCTTCTCACCTGCCACTTAGGTGTTTTTAAGAGCTGCCTTACAGAGTTGTTTTGTAAATTAAATAATTTATCCTTCTCAAGTTCTCCAGCCAATGCTGGACACTTGGACAGATGCTATTCTTTTTTTTTTATTTTTTATTTTTTTTGAGAGGTTTTCGCTATAGGGCGCGTGAGCTCGCCAGACAGACAGAGAGAGACAGAGAGACAGAAAGCGAGAAATCACCCCCCCAGGGGGGATGGTCATGCCACAATCCCTTCTCCTCCATTCTTCTCTTGGGATCTTGGGCACGCACGCACACGCACCCAGCGTGAGTTCTAAGCCACCAGGTCCGGGACGCGAACCGCGGTTGACTACGTGGGAATCCAGTGACATAGCGCACTACTACGTACTGGCAGAGTTCTAGAGCTGGAGGTGCAGCAGTAAGAGGGACGAGGCGTCTGCTTGCATTGGAGTTGGGGGACAAACAAGAAGCAAGAAAACAATTGATCCAAGTAATTTCCTATAGTGGGGAGGGAAGTCACGTACAGTAAACACACCATTGAGCTCTTGCTCCCTGCGAGGCAGTGTTTTGGCACTTGAAATACATCGTTGGAGAAAGCGGATATGGATTCCCATCCTCATGGAGAGCACATTCTACCAAGGGAGGGAGACAGTCATTCAAGTCATAATAGACTGGCAATTTATATGCTGTGTTAAACGGTGATATGTACTATTAAAAAAATAAAAGCAGGATAAAGGGGATTGGAAGTGCATCTGTGTAGGAGCAGTGAGTCACAAGTCTAAATGGGGCAGTCAGGGCAGGTACCACAAGAAGGTGACATCTGGGGCCAGCAGGTAGCATGGTGGTTGAGGTGCTGAACTCCCATATGGCTGACCACAGTTCAAGTCTGGACTTGGTGGCTTGCTTTCTCAACTTCTCTCTCTCTTTCTCTCTGTCTCTCTCTGGTCAAATTAAAAATAATAATAATAAATAAAAATTTAATAAATCTATTTTTTAAAGGTGACATCTGAGCAAGACTAGAAGGAGGGAATGTGCTCTGAAGGAGTTTCCATGGGTTATGAGATGGGGGAGCTGCAGGGGACTTGTTCAGACAGAGTGGCCAGGAAAGTCCATTCTGAGGAAATGACATTTTAGCTGAGAGCTCCACTTTGAGGCGAAACCAGTCTTACAAAGGTCTGGGGGCAGAGTGTGGCTGGGAGGGGAAACCACAAAGGCACAGGTGCTGAAGCAGGCATGAGTCTGGCATGGAGGACCAGAAGGAGAGTGATCAGGAGATGGGGCCAGCGATGTGGGCAGGGACTGAAGCTAGCACTTATCCTCTCCTCATCTATGGACCTTGTTCATTAATTTCCAACACCTCTAGTACCTCTTGTCTTAGAAACACCCCCCTTAGGTACCACTTTGTTTCTTCCCTCTGCCCCAGCTAAGTTTCTCCAAGGAAGGACCCAGATAAACTGCCTCCCCACTAACTTTTCAGTTCATTCTAAAGGGATCTCTCCCAAATACTCCCCTTGAAAGTCACCAGTATCTCTGCATATCCACTCGGGGTGAGGGGCTCTTGTCCTTAATGTATCTGACTTTCTGCTGCCTTTAGCGGAAATGACCAACTGTCCTTCTAGAGACCACTCTCTCCTCGCTCGGTGACACTACTGCCAGCCTCATTTTCTCCAGCCATCTCTGGCCTCTCTTCATCTTCTTTTCAGGGGAGAAATAAATAAACAGGGGTGTTCATGTGAAGAAATGCTTAGGGGCTTTGGTTAATTGAAAGCTCATCCATCAGCCTTGACGATCTTGGCTCAGGCAAGTCACTTGGTCCCTAAGGGACACCAGGGTGGAGAAGATGGTGCCTCAGAGCAGGTGAAATCTGTCTGAGCTTGCACTTTCTGCCTGCACAATCCTGCGCAAGACATCATGTTTTTAGAATTCAATCTTCTCACCTGCCACTTAGGTGTTTTTAAGAGCTGCCTTACAGAGTTGTTTTGTAAATTAAATAATTTATCCTTCTCAAGTTCTCCAGCCAATGCTGGACACTTGGACAGATGCTATTCTTTTTTTTTTATTTTTTATTTTTTTTGAGATGTTTTCGCTATAGGGCGCGTGAGCTCGCCAGACAGACAGAGAGAGACAGAGAGACAGAAAGCGAGAAATCACCCCCCCAGGGGGGATGGTCATGCCACAATCCCTTCTCCTCCATTCTTCTCTTGGGATCTTGGGCACGCACGCACACGCACCCAGCGTGAGTTCTAAGCCACCAGGTCCGGGACGCGAACCGCGGTTGACTACGTGGGAATCCAGTGACATAGCCATTACACTAACTGCTGATTCCCTTGGAATCAGATGCTATTCTGTTGTGACCATTCCAGGGCTCAGAAAAAGCACCTCTGGTCTGAAAAACAGAGGACTAAAATATAACATTGAAAGGGAGGAAGAATGAGGTATAAAGGCAAAAAACATTTAACAGACAAAAAAATGTAAAGTGCTCCATTTTAAAAAATATGCATATTTGATACATCATGGTGAGGACTTTATGTAAAATGTGAAATTAATCCGAAAATTAAAAATTAATTTTTTTTAATTTTAAAATTTTTTAATTTTTAATTTTTAATTTCCCGAGTGACTACATTACCTCTTGTTTTACTTAGTTCTGAACTATGGTTTTAAATTTTTAAAATTTTTTAAAATTTTGTCATTTTCTTATATAAAACAATCAACATTTATATAGGAAATCAATGTCATTTGACATTTTCCATTCACCCCTCTGGGCCAGGTGTCCCTCTATTCTGTGATCCTTCCATATCAATGAGCCTCCTTGTCCTTTGGTTTCAGGTTCAGTCCAGCCATGAAGAGACAATGGCAGGAGATAGGAGAGAGGAAAGAACATGACTTTCTTTTTCTTTTTTTTTTTTTTTAAGAGATTTTGTATAGGGTATGTGCACTTGCCAGAGAGACAGAGCGAAACAGAGACAGAAAGCGAGAAATCACCCCTGGGGGGGATGGCCATGCTGCAATGCCTTCTTCTCCATTCTCCTCTTGGGATTTTGGGCATGCACGTACATGCACCTGGGCGTGAATTTTAAGCTGCTGGATCTGGGACTCAAACCGTAGTCAACTACATGGGAGTCCAGCGACGTAACCATTACGCCATCTGCTGGTCCCAGGAACATGACTTCTGGGTATCTGTTTCTTAGCTCCCTCCTCACCAGGTTGCCATGGTTGGTCAACTCCTCCCTAAGATTCCTGTTTGTGCCCAGTTGCCCTCTCTTTCAGTGACAGTTACCCTCCCAGGGCCTTGGTAGTCCTTCTCCTGACTCCTTCAAGCCTAGAAGGGGAGAAGCCTCCCACCCCTGCGAGTCCTGAGTGGCTACATTATCTCTTGTCTTACTTCGTTCTGAACTATGGTTTTTTTAAACAATCCATTCATTAAACTCTTCTAAGTTACCTGATTAGTTTTCTGCTGGGGATTCAGACTAACACATAGGTCAAGCTCAGTGTCATATGGCCATGGAAAACACAAAGGAAAGGCAGCACCTAGAATACTTTGTGTGAATGAAAAACAGCAGTGGAGCCAGAGGTTGAGGCTC